TTATCACAGATCTGGAAAATATCCTAATGGGCTTAACCCTAGCAAAATTAATTATTGTAAGTCCGGCAATTCTAGATAGCTCCGACATTGGCGAATTTAGGGACAAGCAGCCTATTAACATTAGTTTAATAGAAATATTAGAAGTATCTAGTATAAGTGTTTTTCAAAATTTCGATATCCTCCATTTTCTTATTAAATTTCCTAATCCTAAGTTCGTATGTAAAAAGATATCGGTCTACCCGGTCCAGCACAACACAAAAATACTGGACTTTGAAAAAGAAAACCTAGTCGCTGAGTGCCAAGGGCGAAATCTCAACATCGGATACTGCAAGACGACGGTTGGCGCCACCTTCTGCAGGGAGCTGCAAAATGGTACTTGTGCCCAGCAACTAGTTTCCGGAGCCACTGCGCACTGCTCCACGCTTCCAGGGCATCTGGATCCAGTTACGGTAGTAGATCACGGCACCCTCATAGTGAACGAGGCCAACATGACCATAACCGACGACCAAGGACGGGACCAAAAAATATCTGGGACCTACCTGGTAACCTATTCCGACAGAATAAGTCTCAACGGAACTTGGTTCATAAATCAGCTGGGAAACTCGATGAAAAAACCCGCCGTATCGGCCATGGCCGTTGTCAACATCACGGCACACCAAAACCGGCTAAGTCTCCCATTTCTCCACGAGCTGAGTGGAGCTTACCTTGGGCTCCCTCCTCAGCTACTCCATCACCCTACTCGCCTCCTTCCTACTGTGTTCCACTGTTTGGCTCGGGTACCACCATCTGAAGACCAGGAGCCCCGTCAAATCAGGGGCTAACGGTGACGTAGAAGCAGCAGGTCACCGGGACGGCGACCATTTAAAAGAGGGAGAAGTTAACACACCCAGTTCCCACAAAGACAAATTGTCAAGTTGCAGGCCATATCCGGTGGCCAACACGCGCAGTAAAGAAACCGCCGACTCTGCACTCCGAGGGCAGTTGCCCGGAGCCCGGTCAGAGCACTCGCGGAGCGAGTGATCGCCACCGGCCGGATATCTGCTGCTGACCTGGCGCTTTACTTCTGGCGCTGGGTAGGATGATCGCCACCGGCCGGATACCAAGTGCTGACCCGGCACTTTAGCGGCAGCGCTGCGACCAGGCAAAAGCCTCGAGCCGCGGTAATAAATAATCCCTAAAGATTATAAAATGAAAGACCGATTTTTAAGGGGATACGGCCACAGCCCAAACCGTAAGAGCAAGAGCAGCCAAATTTTTTCACAGTATTCCATTGGGGGCGTGGGCGCCCACTAAGATCCGATATGTCCCCCCAGTGGCCCCAAACAGCTCCAACATCCATTATTCTAAGCAAAAAAAGTTGATGTATTTAAGCTTAACTTCTAAACTGGTTGGAATTTCGATATTTGGTTTTTTCCGAATTTTAGGTTTTGAAAAGGCCTAATTAGAAATCTAAAAGAAATTTTGATATCCCCCATAATTTGGGGGCTACATTTAAAATTAACTTTTCGATTTAAAAAATCTAAACCGCTGCTCCGATCAAGATGATTTTTCGCTCAATAGTTATTCTATGGCCCAAATGCTTAAGTTTAATTTTTCAAGTTTTTAACATTTTTTTAAGTATTTTTAACGAATTTATTTAGATTTTCTAAGTCATTGCGTTGTATTTTGCGGGAGCCTGTCGAGAGAACGAAACCCAGAAGCCAAGAGAGCGACGGCCGAGAGAGCAACAGCCAAGAAAACTGATGAGGGGGAGGGGTAGTGCTGCAGGGAAAGGGGGAGGGGAAAGAGGCAATTTAAGTTAAATTTGTTTAGGATTTTAAAAACTTAAACTGCTGCTCCGATCAATATGATTTTCGATCAATAGGCAGTCCTGTGGATCAAATGCTTAGGTTTTATTTTTCATTTTGTAGCAGAAGTAAGAGCCTTATTTAATTTCCACCATGGAAGAAAATAGAAAATTACTACAAATTCTGTAAGCAAAGCCAAAATGTTTCCAAGTTAAATATTAATCTTAAGATTCGAACTTTTGACCAAATACGTATGTACATATGTATATTTGGATATGTTTTGATTTGCTTATATGTACAATACATGTACATACATACAATGTGTGTGTATGTTTCTATTCGAAAGTAGATAATGTGCTTAAATACAAATAAAATGATTTATTATACCCGTTTATCGATCAAATGTGGAATCTGAAAATAATACGTTACTTTGCTGTTTTTGTATTGGATGCCAATCTTTTACTGTGTGTACAAAGGTTTTCGTTTCATTCAAAACAAGAAATTTGAAAACAACAAATTCCAATTTACAAACAAGTATACATATTTGTGCGAAAATAAAAATTGCATTGATAACATTGTAACTGATAAAAAGTATACTAGCTCACGACTTTTACTTGGATCACTTTCATTTATTATATAGCTCTGCCAGTATCCTTCTGATTCTCTCTCTTGAAGGATCTTCTACAAAGGTTGTTAACACAAAGGTTTTCAAAAAAAGGGGCAAATAAGAAATAAGAAAGTCCTGACAACCCTAACTCCAAACTAAAATTAAGTCGTATACAATACAAAAAGCGTTGGGGCTGAGATGGGTGAAATATTTTTTTTGGATGCACCTGGAGGGACAGGTAAAACCTTCTTGACAAACTTATTGTTGGCAAAAGTTCGAAGTTAAAAAAAAAATAGCCCTAGCTGTAGCATCTTCCGGTATAGCTGCTACCCTGCTCAATGGAGGTCGAACTGCTCATTCTACATTTAAACTTCCTTTGGATTTAGTTAATTTAGAAGCACCTCATTGCTCTATTTCAAAGCAATGTAATATGGCTGCGGTGTTTAAAGATTGTAAGTTAATTGTTTGGGATGAGTGCACAATGTCACATAAAGGTGGGCTTGAAGCCATAAATAGAACCCTGCAAGATATTAATGAGTACTATGTTGATGGGTGGTATTACAGTCCTGCTAGCTGGAGACTTTCGCCAAACCCTTCCTGTTGTGCCAAGAGGTACAAGAGCTGACGAAATAAAGGCCTGTTTAAAATCTTCATTTTTATGGCCACAGATAAACAAACTAGCGCTCACGAAAAATATGCGAGTGCACTTAAAAGGAGACAGTTCTGCAGGAATTTTTGCCGAAACTCTTTTAAAAATTGGGAATGGCGTCCATCCAACAGCTGATGGAAAAATAGTTATAACATCACGCTTAGGAAATGTAGTCAAAAACGTTCAAGACCTTACATCCAAAATATTTCCAACATATCATGTAAAAGCTTAGATTGGCTATCTGAGCGCGCCATTTTGATAACGAAAAATGAAAGAGCAACCACTATTAATAATTTATTGCAAAACTCATTTGATGGTTTAGAAGTCTCCTATAAATCGGTCGACTCTGTTCCTGATGCTGATAATGCTGTTCATTACCCTGTTGAATTTTTAAATTCTTTGAATCCTCCAGGAATTCCTCAGCATAATCTGTCTCTTAGGATTGGAGCACCCGTAATGTTATTGCGAAATTTAAGTCCCCCAAAGTTATGCAATGGGACACGATTGCAGATAAAAGGTCTTCATAAGAATGTAATCGAAGCAACAGTATTTACGGGGTGCGCGAAGGGGGAAACAGTGTTTATACCCAGGATCCCATTAATACCATCCAGTCTGCCGTTTAAGTTTAAAAGGCTACAATTCCCTCTAAAAGTTTGCTTTGCAATAACTATAAATAAATCGCAGGGGCAGACTTTGAAGCTGGCTGGACTAGATCTTAGAGAAGATTGCTTCTCTCATGGACAATTTTATGTCGCATGCTCTAGAGTTAGCTCTGCCAGTAGCCTTATTATTCTCGCTCCTGAAGGATCTTCTAAAAATGTTGTTTACACAGAGGTTTTAAAGTAATCATATTAATTAACATTATTAAACCTAGAAAGTTTCAGTGGAATAGGTCTAATTGAAGATACCACATTAAAAAAAACGCGCCAATTTCTCTACCTCAGGGGAGGTGTGGAAATAGGAAAGTCTTGACAACCGTACTCAAAACTAATTTTAAGCGAACGAAGTCGCGCCGGGTACAGCTAGTAAATAATAAACTTAATAATAAACTTAATGTCTTTATTATCCTCTGCCTTAACAGGTTTAGGAGAAATAGGGATTAATTAAATACCAAATACCAAACCTAAATAACTTGCACAAGAAATTTAACGTTTCGGCCGCAAGCCAATGACCAAACAAAAACATTAGGTGTAGGGTTTTTCTGCATTTGGTAGGTGTTTTTCAGCATTTGGTAAGAACTGAAATCATTTTTTCTTACCTGTTGTGCCAGTGGTTGCAAATGCTTTCTCTCGAACTGCCCAGATGGCCACATTTAATTGCTGGTGACTGCATTTGCGAAATTCGGGGCGATTCTGGGTTTTGAAATTCAAAAGCCTCAATGCAGGTTTTCTCGTGAACTCGAAATTTTCGAAATTTATTGTCGAAATTTGGGTGATTGGGGATTTTGCTGCGTGTTAAATTAGCCAGAGCCATAAGATGGTGTAAGTGTTGTATGATCTGCACTAGACTTGAGAACATAATTTGCCTAGGAGGTGTACATCTACAGGAAAATGTAGAAACTATGTAAAAACTTGTTTTTTTGATCATTGCATATGATCATTGCATTTAGGCATACAGAAACAAAATCTAAAAAAATATTTACATGTTCTGTTAAATTTTATCATAAAAATGGGACAACTGCCAATCATCAACATTTTAATTGTAATAGTTTACCTTCACTGTATTAAGCGGCAGAAGTCTCACCGCATACTGAGGAAACTCCTAACTTACTCACGGATTTGGCTCAAAGGTGTCTTTAATAATTTGTAAAGGTACAGACGTAGATTATACCGTGAGGTATCAGTTTTATAAATTGTTAAATGGATCTATTGAAGTTGGTCAAACCAGCCAAACAACCTTCGTGTAGCCCGACAACAGAGCAACAACCGGATGAGTCTGTTATTGTGCCAGAGAAATCAGTTCTCTGACTTTCGTTTGTATGGTTAGACGTGTGTGTTCCTCATAGCTACAGCCAATTTTAAAACTCACATAGGCTTTGCATAAGTTGATGTAAAGGTTGAACTAAGCTTAGATACATATTTAATTTGTTTAAAAAGTCATAAAAGAAGTAAATCTTTAATCGAATATATTTGCAGCCATAAAAATTGATTGATTAATATTGTCATTAGACAATAGAAGAGTTTACTTTTCGAAACTCACTTAAAAGTGCATTTCTTTTTAACACCTTTTAGAGGAGCCAAAAATGTTGCAGCCACGCAAAACCAACAGCATATTGGATCGACGTTTAAAAAATGTCCGCTCACTTAATTACAGAAGTGGAATGTTATATTTCGGCTTTTACCATACAAACTTGAGCCTTGCTCTGTTAACAACACTCATTTTAGCTATGGTCCCTATTGAAGCTTCACAGTCAACCAGTGAGTATAACAAATATGTCAAAAACTTTCGCAATGTTTTCGGTACAAGCTTAATAGACCCATATGGTTTTTTTCTTCACAAAAACTCATGCTGGTTAAGACCATGCACGTTTAACATTTTATTAAAAACTGTATATCTTTAACAATATAGTAAGAACAATTAGGTTAAAGTTATGAATGGTCGCAGGATTAAATGTTCCAATAAAGAAGGCCGTATATATTGACATGTATTGTGAAATTTTTATTTCGTACATATGCGTATGTTTATATATGTATTAATCGCTATACAGGCTACCTGAGATATTCACACGTTAAACCTGTTTTAAACTGGTACTGTGGCTGAATTGGTTATTTGTGGAAATCTTCGGAAAGCCGAATTCAATATACCCTCGCAGCTTTGAAACCCCTTTTTGTTAAACAGACCCTTTATAATTAAAATTATGCACAGTCAGGTTTATAAATACAATAGTTAAATTAATTATACAAGTTAAGGGGTATTTTTTATACGAATTTTTATTGGCGATACGGAAGTTTTAGTTCAAGTTTTGTTTTGCCATGTGATAATACAACATTTAAACAATATGTGAAAAATTTTCATTCCATAATTTTGAAAAGTGAGTGAGATATAGGCAATCTCCGACGGTGGTTTACGGTGTACATCGTAACTGGCCACAGAATCATCTGAATTGAAAAAATCAAATTGCATTATTAAAAGGATAAATTTCGCCCGGTAACTCTGTCGATCTTTTATTTTTAATTTTTTTTTCGATTTTTAAAGGCACCTTAAAGTTAAAAACCTTGATAATCGCTCAAAAATCCAATTTATTTGTTTTTGTACATAATAAAAATTATTTTTCCCAAAAACAAAAATAACATCGACAGCGTTACCTGGGAATTGAGTAAAGAAGTACTGTGCAAAATTTCAAAACGATTCGTTCAGTTGATTTTGCAGGATCGTGTACACCGACTTTGAAAATCACAACTTTCGGAGAGCGTTTTGGACTCCCCAAAATCAAACTGCCCATAACTTCGGAAGTTTTACTCGGATTCATATAAAATCTTAACACAATATTCTTAAAATGTTCAGAAAAAAAAATAAATTTAAGCTTTAAGTTTAACTTTTTAAGTTTGAGAGTTGCCTATTAATTATTTTGATTTGCATGATATTTTCATTTAAGTACGGCTTAAAATCATTTTCTATACCTTTATTATAACAACAGATTAAAATCATTTTCAATTTTAGTTTTTAGATGGAGTTTTATAGCTGTTATTATTGGCTTTGTAGTAATATTTTTAATTGTTTTAAATAGTGACTCCAAAAATTGTTGTTTGCTTATCTAATTAATTTATCCATACTTGTTTAATACTTGTTTCGTGCAGTTTTCTTGTGCAGTTGAATAAGAACTATAGTTTTTTAATTGAAGGCTATTTTTTTTTTACGTAAAATTTTGGTATACGTTCAGTTTCGTTTTGCAAGTAAATTATAGGCTTTCCCAAATTTTTATACCACATCATTTTTACATTCAATACAATAAAAGGTCTAAAACAGATCCCTGAAGGGCGTCGTGCCTAACATATAGGAACAAGGCAGAAACTGATTGGGAAACTACAGACAACAGATCACGATAAATTGTATAATTTTTATCACGTTATGTTATACTTTTATTTGTATTAATTCCCAATTGCTCCTTTTTCATATAGCTTAAATTGTAAAGGGCTGTTTACGTATAAACGGAAAGATGGCCGGACAGACGGACGGATATACGGACGGACAGACAGCCGAACGGACGGACGGACGGGCAAACGGACATGGCTATTTACTTTATTTGGAAATACTTGAAACGTAGTCACTTTAATTGTAATACCCTCTACAAGGGTATACAAAGGGAAAAGATAAAGTCAGTGTTAAAAAAAAGGTTTATGACAAACAAAAAAAAAGAGCATGAATTTATCAATTTTATGTCAAATGTATCTATTTATTTTTTTTTTAGTTTTTTTACTTTACGATTTGGTTTTCTAATCATATATCGAATCCCCAATCGCAGTAAAAATAGGGTGATAAAGCAGAGTTTGACGATTTGCCTCTTTTTGGAAAATTTTTAAATAACATAATAAGGTCTTGAAATTGCAATAATAACAAGTCCTATTCAGACGATGTATTTTAATTTTTAGCAAATAGTGAAACAGATTCAAAACATTTGGATTTTTTAGGAACCAATATCCGATTACAAGATAACCAAGAAACTTTACAAAACTTAGATAGCTTTAACTTCAACAATTCTCTTGAAAATCGAATTTATACGGACTTTTAAGCTTGGACAAAATGGGATAAACCTAAATGGACACACAACCATTTTTGTTTCCATTGAACAATAATAATTTTTCTAATCTGAGATATAAGTCCAAGAAAAAAGTAAGATCTAATTTTGTGCTAATGATATTTAATACGAGGGGCAGTGAGTCCAAATTTGAGGTTATAATAAAAAGTCTATTATAGTAATAATCTTCCTCATGCAAGACATAGATCTACACTGATTAAATATTAGGGAAATAAAATTTCTACTTAATCTACTAGGTACAAAAAAGTCTGATGACGCAAAGAAAAAAAATTGAATTGTACTTATTTAATTGTGGGCTCCAGACGTATGAACCAAAGTCTAAAGTCTAAAGGAATTAATCAAGAATTCCTTTGAACACTTTTAAAAAACCCAAGCACACCTGTAGCTTTAAAAACCATGGACGATATTTGATCAGAAAACTATAGTTTTGGGTCCACAATCATTTACAAGAGTTATTGTATCCAAAGAGTTAAAATAAAATAGATAAAATGACATTCATTTCATTCATTTCAGTCGTGAATAAGTAAATTCATGAATTATCTTTCATTATACCCACACGAGAAAAAACTTTTATATTTAACCCAAATTTTTGTATTCGTTTGTAAGTCAGAATTTTTTCAGAAAAATGTGCCATACAAAATGAATTTTTTTTTAAAACGACTGTACTTTTTATGTTAAAGAATAATTATCGGCTAATGAAACGCTTGAGATTTTTTCATGTGATTACTTTATTTACAGGTCACCCTTATCTAGTGAGTCCGACACCAACTTTGGCAGCGATAGCCTCTGATGGTAAGACTTATTATTACCTTATTGCACCATATTATTTAGCAACATTTTTATGTACTTTTTATAAGTAACTTTTTAAATGACGTAGTATTACATTCTTCTATTTTTAATAATGATCTGTTTATAGTATTTTTAAGAACTATATTATAATTTATATAAAAACTTAAATATTTACAATATTTCTTATTAATTTTTGTATTTCTTTCTATGATTTCACCATCTTTTGGAATGTACATTCTGGAAATATTGACTAACCTTTACTTTTCCATTTATCTGCACAATATGATAATGTCCCGTATTCTACAATGTATATATCTGTTCTTTCACGCTTTTTCTGTTTTTTCTTTAATTTCTAATTCTATTTATAAATAACAAGATATAACTACTGTTCTCTTGGTAAATAATGAATCAGGACATCTTGGCGATAGTCATGGACGGTTTTTGACGGTACGCCCAGAATTAGGTGTTTTGACTTCAACAGCTAGGACATTTATTCAGGATGGAATAACAACAGAATTTGCTACTAAGATTGTTGGGACTACTTTAAATAACGGTCGCCTTTACGCACAATATCTCAAAAAGAGTTCGAGAATTCTTTATCAAAACGAACATCTAGCACCATCTGTGGTTACTAGTTGGGTAGGTGAAGAAGATTCTCAGCAAACGCCACTATATTTACAAAGTCACAATGATCTCTTTAACTCGGATGACATTGACTGGCAGGATATCGACGATAGCCTAGGTGTTCATCGAGGCGAGTTTGTTGGTAACACCGACTTTGTAAGCTATCAAAGCACAATACTTAAAGACTCAAGGGTTCCTGCTTATCAAGATAATGAACGTCTAACATCTCTACACGCTGTAGGTAGCAATAATGATACATTGAAGTTTGACTCAAAAAGGACAGACGAAATCAAAAAGATTGTTGATAATAAGGTCTTATCAATTGAATTTTTGGAAACATTTACTGTTAAAAGCAATATTGGTCATTTTGAAAATTCTGCGTTCAATCAAGTCACAAGCGACTTATATGCTCCTAGAGAAGAAAGAAAATACGGACCAAAAAAATCCATTGATTCACGTTCTGAAAAAAATATTAAAGCCCAAGAGCATCGAACTGGCCACCAACAATTCTTAGCTACTGTAACTTACTATGGATTTGCAGAGTTTACTACAATTGTTGGAGATAGTGTCATTGTTTTTTCGCCCAGTACCATTCAGAGCAGCATGCATTTTGGACACGTTACTTCGATAAAGGGCAGCCCCACTTTACAACCCGAATCACTGAGTAATCTGTCAACAGCTAACACGGCGGAAAAAATCGAAGTTTTAAGCACAAGGTCAAGTCTTGGATTAGATATTAGCGAAAGTGCGAATGATAAGGAGAGTCATTCCAACAACTTTTCAACTCCAGAGTCAAACATTTTGCAAACAGAAAAATTCAGCAATATATTATCAGTTGAGGTGGAATCTAGTAAAGTTTTTTCTCAAGAAATCCTTCCATTGATTTCCACAGAAATTAAGGACCTTAAATCAGCTTCAATTGATTCTATTCATGGTTTGGAAAAACCAAAAAGTCACATTGAACCAAATATTCAAAAGCAGGAAGGGGCTACAACTATATATATTGATGATGATCCTTTCACCAGTTTCGTAAAGCTAAATGATTCATCAAGCTTAAAATTAAATTCATCTGTCCAAGAAAAAACTTTTCAATATATTGAAACATCTGAAAGTAAAAAAACAGTTGACATTTTGACTTATCAAACAATTCCGGCTATTATTAATAACAAGAACGACAGTGTGGGTAGTAAACCAGTCGTTGGGACGAGTAATGATAATGACAATAATTCCATTAAACTATGCAACCATACAACGTCACAAGTTTTTCTTACTCAGATGCCTAAGTTACTTAATATAAGCAAAGAGAATAGCATTGCTATCGACGCCAACCCACTTTTCGCCTATGACATTGTAGAAACAACTAAATACTATTGCATACAAGCTTCACAACCGGAACAAAAGAATGAATTAAATAGCGATATTGTAGACCACGAGTCTGTTACAGAAAAATATAAAGAATTAATGTCGACAGAGTTTATAGATGATGTAGATGAAACTACAGCTCGAGATTCAGAGGACTATGATGTGACTACAGAAAATGAATATGAAATCGATGATGATGACTACGACAGTGTTATTAATGACGCTGATTTAGTATATAAAACTCTATATACAACTTATACATATTTAACAACATTCTTTGAAGGCTCTCGCACTACGATATCTAGCCACACTGAGGTCTTAACAAATATCATTTCCTCGACAATTGGGAGTTATGGTGAAGCGAAATCGAGCACCTTAGGTTATTTTGAAGAGAACAAGAATATTGAAAGTACAATTCGACAGGATGACCATAAAGCTGTAGCTTTAGCGTCTAAGTATACTATACCTATTGAAATTGTTAGCCTATTAACTGAGGAAAGTAAAAAAAATATTGCTGAAAATAAAACTACTGATAAGATAATAACTTCTTTTATGGAAGACTTAAAATATAGTAAAACCTTATTCACCACATATACATATTATACATCTATTTTTACTGATAACGACACTGAAGTACAATCACGAACAGAGGTGGTCACAAATTATGTTACAACAACCAGCGATCCCCAAGCCACTAACCAGAATTTTGTAACATCAGAGGTTCTTTCAGCCCAGCACGAAATCGAAAAAAAGGAACATATGCCTTTTGAAAAAGAAGTTAATTCCAGTAGATTAAGTGACGCGCGTCCAGGTACTTTTATTAAAACAAATTCGCTTGATGACCAAATAAGCTCGGAAAGTAACACGGAGGAGATCATACCATCAGCAACTTTTCTTCTTCAAACAAGTTTTACAACATTTACCTTTTATACAACCATGTATGTCGGCGATGACACAAGTATAATCAGTCGTCTTGAGACAGTAACAAACGTAGCTACTGAAACTTTGCAACCTACAAAAATAGAAAATTTAGAGGAGTCTTCGTTTCCTATTACTTATTTTACAACATTTACTTATTGGACTAAGTTAGCTAAAGATGGTGAGATTACTACACTAAGCAGAGAGGAAACATTGTCCAATGTTATTCAACCCACAAATATGACAGTAATAGCTGTTGACGAATCGTCAAGGACAGCAGAAAAAACATCATCGAGTGACATCGAAACGCAGACCCATTTGAATTCTGAAAGCGGTAGTATTTCCTCTTTGACTGATCCAAGCTTTCGATCTGACATTACCACATATTACACTACATATACCTATTATACTACTTCATATAAAGTAAATATGACAATTATCGATTCACGTTTAGAGACCCTTACTAACGTAGTGACATCCGGAGAAGACCCTACTTTAACTCAAGCCACTTTGGATATAATGATTAAACCTAGTCAGCCTGTTACTGGAGAAGAATATCAAATTATAACTAATACACCGAATATTGTTCTATACGATTATAAACAAATAATAGATGCGGAAGAAGTAAGCACTTTGTATTTTACAACCGAAATTATATCTTCACTAAATAGTGAGGGACATGAAACGGAAATAACTAGTAGCACCTCAAGGTTGCACATTGACGAATCCAAGAAGTCTATTTTGGCCACCATCTTAGGTAATATATCGGATGAAAGCATATCTAGCAATAAATTGTATAAGACAGGGTTAGTAAGGCTTATTGAAGGCAAACGCATTCAAAATAGTACAACTACGTTATACCAATCAAAAGTTATTGGTACTGTCATAGACAATCGATATGCGCAGATAATAGAGAGTACATCAAGCTTTTTTTTTGAAAACTCAAAGTCTAACGATAATTTGCTCCCGACAACCGTTCAAAACAATTTTATGGCAACCCAAGACATGAATTCAATTGAAATGAAATCTTTGAAAAATGAAAATGATAACGAAACATTTTCTTTAAAAGACGAAAAAAACTCAAAAGAAGAATTAGATATTGACGTAGATGAGTTGACGACACCACATACAACGAAGAGGCCATTCGCTCCTGTAATAAGGCCGTTTGCTTCAAGAAATAGGCCTTCATTCGCACCAAAACAGAAAACAGTACTTCCAAGTAGCGCGACAATAATAACAAGATCGGACATCACACCGACTATTACGGCAACACCTGCTTTAAAATCAGTTGGTAGATACAGCTCGTCGCGACGGGGTGTGATATCCAATGTACCAACTAATCCCAACGAGTCAAATTTAAGCCAGGGTCAGTCATCGAGGCGCCTTTTCGGACGACCAACCAAGTCATTGACTAGTTTAACAGATACGACTGGAACTCAACAGACCAGCATTGGATTTTCACCATCGAAAAACCGTTTCGCGTCTTCTTCACGCTCATTAGTGAGTTCCAGGCGACCCAATATAAATGTAAATTATCGGTCATCAAATGTTCCTGGTTTTCGTGGGTCTGGAATAATACCCAGCTCGAGGCTCCGCATAAAGCCAACTAACTCAGGATTGCTACCAAGCGATAGGTTGACACAATCCATAACATTCGCCAAAGAGCTAAGTTCAGAAAGTAGTGGCGAAGAGGAGAGTTCAACAGATGAAGTTAACGAAGAGGAAGAAAGTACCAGACGTAATAACAACCCTCTACTGCGGTTTCGTCGGCCTATAAATGGTCCCATTGGATTTACTCCTGTAATAAGACAAAGTACTGGCAGTTCTTCAGCAGTTTCTCTCAGACGAAACCCATTATCACCCCGATCAAAAATCTCGACCACAACAAGCAGCACAACTACAACGACGGTCAAACCCCGTCCTCGAAGCTTTCAGAGACCAGTTGTCCTTCAGCCAAGATCGAGACCACAAAACACACTTTTTCCACCACGAGGACTTTTCCAAAGTGTCCAGAAAGAAGAAAGTCTGAAGTCCAACGATAGTGCTTCTGAAGAATATGAAGACGATGATGAAAATAACGCCGAAGACGACTTGCAAGAAAATGTTCATCGTAGTAAGCGGTCTATCCGATTTTCATCTAGCCCTGGAATTCAAAAAAGAGTACGTCGGCAAACAGATACAGTTAACAGAAGTAGATTTCGATTTCGTCGGCAAAACCAAACAGCGACTTTTACAAAAGAATCAAAGCTCTTGGGCTCTGATGATCGTACTGAAACCACATCAACTCCCCGTGAAAAATCCAGCTCACGATTCGGATCAAGATTTCATTCTCCACAGGGACAGCAACTAAACACGCATACAACACTGTTAGACTCAACGACAGCCCCCAGTCATAGATCGATTCGTCCGACTAGGCCAACAACGAAACGTTCTCAGTTTACGCTTAGAGAGAAAGACGCTACTTCAAAAAGCACTTCACGTGCAAGTTCAACTAATAACTTCCGACGTCAACCGACAACCGTAAATGCTTCAATAAGGCGTCCTGTAGTTCCAAATACAGGAAATTCAAACAGCCGAAGGCTAAAGAGCTTTGTTAGCTATAACAACAAAAATAATGGAGACCACGGGCGACTTTCAAGTACTCCGCGATCCCGAAACTCAAACTCTAATACATTGAATAGAGGAAGAGGTCGTGGCCGAAATCGGAACGAATACTCCTCTGACTTGCAGTCCAATGAACATGAAGTTCAAACTATTACAGTTACCCATTTTTTACCTTCTGAAGTTACGGTACCAGTAGTTAGCGGACATATAACTGAGTACAAAAATATTGTCACAGCAAAAACGAGCACAGAGCTTGTGGGCCCAAATCAGTATATGCAAGTGCTAGGGACAAACGGATTAAGTTCTATTTACTTAAATCGAATGGTATCCAGTGTAAATATTGCTGGTGCCACAGAGCATACAAAATATCTGTTGCATGAATCTATCACAAGCTCTGTAATTTTTACACCAACCACAATCCGCGGCAGAAAGACGTCCTTTTCACATATTATTCCATCTACAGCGTATTCCGTAGAGTACCTAGTAACTACACTACAGCCTCAAATTTCTGATAATGCACCGCTTGCTAACATATTGCTATCCCAGCTACTTTTGGGAAATTTAAACTTACCTGCCCATCCAATAATAGGTGCTGTTGGGCAGCAGCCAGGTGCTGCATCGGCTGTAATACCCACATCTGTTGAGCCTGTAACTGAATATCGCACCCACACTTCCACATATGTAACTACAATCTTTGATGGGAAATCCACCATTCTTCCGGTGACATTTCAAGGAAAAAAGATTCTCACTACTGTCTATGACACTACTGCACAGACAATAACAGCTACAGAATATAGTGTGGATACCATAGTGAACACTGTCCCATTCGCTCAGAACATACAGTCCGTTGCACCGGCTGCACAGGTAAATAATTTATTGTTGCAACAGTTACTTATTCAGCAACAGCAGGAGTCTTTATCACTGGCTCAAGCAATATCGAACACTTTACCACCACAAATATTTTTGAGTGACAATCTGCAGGACCTGAACGATGTTTCACGGTCATCAATAACATCTGATGTCATCGATAATGTAGGATATGATTCGGATGTTGTGCCAATCAGCAATGACTCTCAGCTTACAAAAAGCCACCGAAAAAAGTCACGAAAAACAAGCAGTGGGAATAAGCGCAGTAAACAAAGTCATACAGCTGCGGAAAAACAAGATCCAAATGTAGTAACACTTTATGTATCGGGCCGAAGACCAGGCGAGTTTAGTACTGTTTTGTCAACCGTAGGAAGCGAGTATGATCACTCAGTTTCTTTGCAAAAGAGGCAAGTAATTTTAAAAATTCAGCCAACCGTCACTTCGACAGCCAAAAATGATTATTTGTATTATACCGATGAGAGCGAAAATGTAGAAGAAGATGATATTTCTCTTCCAAAAGATCAAAAAGGTTTTTCGACGGTTGAAGTAGGATTTAACGACTTGAGCGATCGGACGGCATCTTTAGAAAGCATTGTTGGTAATGTAGATCTTTGGTATGCAAACTCGAGTGGACAATTCGAACTGTCGTCGACAATCAATTCAATAGGAATCTAATTCCTTACATTAAATTATTTTGTTATGGCATTCCCAAAAGCATATAAGGATGATTATTAAATCTGTATAAAAGCGAATTAAGACCATCCCCTTTGGAAGATGTCCGATTACTAGTCAGTGATTAAAAAATTTTCAACAGGAATCTTCTTCAATACTCAACTATGCAAAGACAAGAATACACCATTGCAATTTTAAAACTATCAAAACCATTAAATTTGCTTTTTTAATTCTTAATGTTCATAATCTATAAATTTACTAAATTCAATCTAAACAATAAATTAATTATATTAAATGAATCGACAGAAAAATATACATATCCACGAAGCTTGTATGCGCTAGCGTAATTATTCGCATTATTTTGACTATCACATTGAAGTGTACAATTAAGCCAACTCAAGTTCACAGCATGTGTTCACATATTGTGTTAAGTTAAGATTAAAATGACACAAATGTTAACATTTTACCAATATACAATATAAATCTTTTACCAAAATGAGAAAAATGTATTGTTCATTAAACCAACTACATTTTCCTATCATATCAGTTAATAGAATTTATTTTTTTGCCAGTGCCTTGATGATAACTACTCACAAATCCAGTTTAAAAAAAACAATTATCTTTAGAAGAAATTTTGACAGTGAGGCAAGTAATTCAATGATTATTACATATAACATTTCTTGGACTAAAATCTTACATTTTATTTACTGTATAGCAGTGCTTTAAGAATAATTTTGTAATGCTGGTATTGAGTTTTTAATTTTAAATTATTGTGGTACGAAGAAGACCATTTTTTGGGTAACGTAGTTTATTTATATAGTATTACTTTCTGACTTATATCTAGGCAACTGGTTTTCTAGTTTATATATGTAAGTGTTATTATGTGTTTGTAATGAATAAGTAGTGGCATAGTTTCAACATGCCAATAATAAAATCGGAATGTATATATGTATAAATCTACTTTATTTAATTATGTTCCACTAATTTCACATAAAAATGTATATATATATATACGAACAATAAAAATTAATTTAATATGTTTTTAAGTATCTGTATTTATTTTTTAAGGGACTTTTGATGCTTTTTTTTGTGATCATTTAACGAAAACAAAATTGAAAGAAAGAAAACTTCGGCAAGCCGAAATGTGTATACCCTAGCAGCGGTCACAAAAATTAAATATTCTATATTTCGAATTAGATGCTTAAAAACAAAGCTAGGTTGACTTCCTGGCTAGATCGAATTGAGCAAATCGGATAAAACTTTGAAATTCAAATTGACCTTCCATCTGGAGGAACCAAATCATAGCCAAAGGGGGCAACACCGGCTCGACTTTCCTCACTAGGTTATTCTGGTGCGGAGGAGTGTGAAATTGATGTAATTACTGCCGGTTTCCGGGGAAAGCCTAGTATCCAGATCGACAAACGATTACGCTAGCGTAAAAACTTTAATCTTTCCAGTGTGACCAAAATTTTGAGAGTTCATCAGATTTAAGCGTGCTACGGTCGTACTGTCAATCAGCTGGGTTTGTTGACAAGCAGTTAAAATTCAAATATCGTATTTGCGAGAAAGAGCCTTTAAAAGATATTATCAAATACCTTGGCAAGACAAGTCTGCCGCTGTACAAAGAAATTAAAAAACAATACAATTTAAATTTAACAGTTGTTTTTTTTTTAATTTACTAATAATTATTTGCTAATTTAAAGTTCATAGCTGCACTTTTATTGTGTTTTTTCGTACATTCTGGACCTAAAAAACATTTTGCTCTGACAAGAGGCACCCCAGATAGTATTAATGTTATTTTGTCCTCACATGTAAACACCTGCAATCGACTTGTGTGAGTTTTTTGAGTTTTTCCCTCCATTTCTTATAATGTTCAGTGAGAAGCGCACGCCAAAAGATTAAATTTTTTAATCTTTTCGCTAGGGTTCACCCAAAGTTCATTTCCGCAGACTGGCAACGCTATGGATTTTTCTGCTATTTTTTTCGTCGATCAGGGGACCGACGTGAAAAAAAGGATCGCTCTCTCTCATGACTGGCGTACGGTTTTCGTCGATCTGGATACTAGGCTGAAAGAGCTTCGCCCTCGCCGTAAAATACTGGGATGTGCTTGGAATTGAGTACTGCCTCAAGGCAGCTTCAAGATCTCCCGTAGTCAAGTACCAGGCAAAATTTGCATATGATACGATATATAATTTTGATCTAGAAAAAATCACTAATGTATGCTTACACTTGCCGAGTGTAGTTAATAATTTAAAATAAACCACTACAAACATTATTTTTTTCATGATAATTTTTTCATTGTTTTGCAAATATTTTTACTTTAACGGACGATTCTTGCTCTACCGTCGAGTAGTTGTTACACTTTTAGTCAATCATGCCAAAAATGTTAATTTTTTAACACTTTCCTTTTTCTTTCAGTTTTAATATTTTTTTATTTGTATACAACCATTTTATTACAATGTTGTTTTACATAGACACGAAGGGAAGGTCTTCAACACGTACCATCTGGTTTCCCTTAAAGTCTTAAGAAATATATTTGTCCGTCCCTTTCACCCTTCCCGTCTCTTTAAACGCACATGCAGCCGACAACGCCCATGAAAATAAAAAATGTTTAAATTGTCTTTTGAAACCAATATAGGATACAATCGAAAAAACGTTTCTCGTTTCCATGCTCATAGCAGGACGGGGAGAATTAATTCTAGGTACATACTGGACTATGAAAATGAAGTTTTTTATCGCTCTGCTTCGGAAAAAATATTGGAAGAGGCCAGATATAATCTTGCCACTCACGTTATGTCAAACGGAGTCGAGCTAATAATAGCCAGTGAAAAAGGAAAGCCCATTGGAAAAGTAGCTGTGAATTCGCACCCAAATTCAACAACACAGCAATTTTATAAACCCTTTACTCTGGCCCCAAGTACACTTACAAATCAGATGATTTTAACATTGCCTCTAGTAAAACAGGTAATACTTACATACAAGTTTTTAATTAATCAATAACTGGCTAACTCATCCCATAGGACACATTGAATAGTCCCGATAATTCATTTATAACCAAAATTTGTCTTTCTACCTACACTTATCGCACAACCTATGTGGACAAGGGAAGCTCAAAAGTGGTAAGCAAGGAAATGGTTATATCAAACAGCCTTACAGAAGAGCGAAAGGATCTTCATGCAAGTAATCCGTTAGTTAGAGAAGATACTTTCTCAAAGGTAAGCATAACATAAAATACTATATTAAAAGCCTTTTCTTATAATTTGTTAACAAATTTAGACCCCAGAGCTAGTTGTTGCAATGTTGCCAACAACTTATCACTATTATAACACGATAGACAGAGGCCAAACAGAGATAACTCCAATAGTAGTCACATCAGAATATACTATTATAAATACAATCACGAATCCTGGAAATTTGTTGAACCTTCTAGATCCATCCAAAGATCTTTCGCGCACCATAAATACGACTACCGAATACGATGTATTCCGAAAACCGTCATATGTCACAAAGAAAAACAATCTTACCCAAGTCGTTATCAGAGAGTCAATTCCAGCACCAATTTCGACTCATACTAATACCATTTTTGATTTAATTTTGGGCAAAACAACTAGTTTAAAAAGAACTGATGATCTGTTAATATACTCAACAAAGGTTTTATTAGAAACATACACTTTTTGCTCATCAATGTTTAGAAGTAGTTTGACTGAAAAATCTTCGAATATTGATATTAAAAGGACTGTCTGTAAAAGTGATCCAAGTGTTCCTACCCAGAAAAAAAATCTTCTGACTCACGTTCTAAAAAATATTGTTACCAATACTGTGAGTAGTTCTTTATTAAACGCAGATCTAATAGTTTCGTTAAAGTCCGAGCTTATGCTTAAAAAGGGGAAAAACCAACGACAAACTATTATTACAATGGCCACATTGTTGGGAGGTGAAATCATTCAAGTTACAGCAATGAATATCTTCGAAAAACCAAATACATTTACAACTTCAAAAGATTATTTCAATTTAGCAATGAATGCAATCAATGCTACTTTGAATAGTAGTGAGCATAAATTAGCTTTCAGTTCTAAAGAACCAAACTATTCCGAGAATATTGGCAAGATATCAGAAAAAACATCCATTCAAATAAACAATAACAAAAATAATACAGATTTTACATTATCGGAGTCTGAAAATAGTGAGGTATACGTAAAAGATAATACAAAATTAAACCCAATGTATAGTTCGCTTGTATCCCAGGTCAATATAATTGGCAATGTAAACTTAGAACGCTTTCGTCCAATGTTTAATGTTGTGACACACTTATTAAAAAAACAGTTTATTAATATACAAAAAACAGAACATAACCGTAAGACATTTATTAAAAGAAAGAAAAAAAATAACAAAGTTCATTCTAATAAGTCCTTTACAACTGACACGCAAACTGTATCTGCAACAATTGAAAATCCAGTTTATATCCCTTTAGAACAAAATGAAAGTGGTACAAGTAAGATAAAATACTTAAGTTCAAGAGATATAGAACAAAAACAGGCTGATAGTCTGGCTAAATTAAGAATTAATACTTTACATATGTATCCCCCAAAGATAGAAGTAAAACCAAACTGTTTAAGAGATATTCTAACAAAACTGTCGCATGCTCGAAAATCTGTAGAAAGCGCCAAGATATTTAATAACGCGTTAGGTAATACCGGTATTCCTATTAGACCCGGTGAAGTTATAACCGCCAGCGCTAATGTAATTTTTGGGAAACCCAATGTGGATGTAAATGTGGGTTCAACTACAACAAACTATCGTCATTTAACTCAGTTTAAATCATTGTACCCCAGTATTCCACTCCATTCAACAATGTTACATAATTCCCCTTTCCATAAGAAAATAATTATAATGGAGTATGCCAGTATATTGAAGCCACCACCACCACAAATGCCACTACAATATATAACAACATTCAAGTCTCAATTGGAAAGAGCAACAGAAAAAAATATGTTTCCAAGCATTGATTTGGTACAAAAATATTCGAGCATCGATCGTTATTCTTCCGAACCACTTACAAGCTTAAATTCAGCATTTTACAGCAAACATATTTTAGATGTATTTAGAATGCCACAAATATTTGGTACAAGCCTACCAGCTAGAAAAAGTTATATTATCTTGTCAAATACATTTGACTACTCTTTTATTCATGATTGTTCTCTAAACACTTTAAAACCAACCCTGTCATACCAAACGCCTTTAATTGTATCAACGTTTTCGGGGCTTGAACAAGTCAACATGAAAAATGACGTCCTTAGCCATACAATTAATATGCATGCCCGTCCTCTAACATTTAAAAGGGAATCTGAAAACATTCCGTACGCAACTGCCGTACAAGGACATTTTAATAGTTTTTTGTTAGATCGTGTTAAAATTACTATGAATGACGCTAAAGTTGATGTTCAATTAACACCCAACCATAAAAGGATCTTTCCTGTCGAACACACGGATTTGGTTTCAGATGAAACTCTTACAAAGTTTAAACAAAGAAATAATAATTTAAAATTTGTAAATATTTGGAAGCAAAACGGAACAAATAAGTTCAGTAAAAATAAAGTTCCCTATCAATTTACTCATGACTCATATGCTACATATGATAAGCCAACAATGAGTATCCGTGAAATTTTTAATGAAAGCGTGAAACAAACTGTGCCAGATCAAAATGCAGATAACTCAAATGAATCTTTGCATTTTTTAAAGTTTATCTCTTCCAAAGAGTACCATCATAAAGATAAGACGGGATCAATTAAATGGGTTTCCATGGTTAAACATATAAGTGATATTACAATGCCTAAGAGCAACGAAAAAACCACAAATTATATGATGTCTTCAAACAAACAGTTTCACACCGGCAATTCAAATAAGAGGTTTCTAGCAACGGATGAACAGTTTAATCTAAGACCTTTTATAGAAGATACAATTGATTCTGTAAATTCTAAAGTGGTTCCGAAAACAAGTATTATTAACGCTGTTCAGTCCACACTTACAGGCTCATTACCTATTTTCGAACGCCCTCAACTAAGATCAAGTATATTTAAAGAGTCAAAATCCCTTAGGTTAACGACGAACGACGATCTGGAGTTGAAAACACATTTAGTTAAAACAATGAATAGTCACCAGTACAGTTCAGTCATACCAGTGACTAATTACACATTTATATTAAAATCAATAAGAGAGCCTCTTTCTGACTCCAATAAAATTATGCGTGTTTCGACCTTACAAATTAAATGTCAACACAAAGACTGCAAAAATAATTTGTTAACGGCATTAAAGGACGATATCAAAAAGCTTGAACCATCTGAAATGTTACATGATGATAATTCTGCTTTTAAAAAAACAATGGAATGGGATATAATTTCAATGCACGTTAAAAATTCGAAGTTAATAAATCATTTGATTTCTACCTCTAAACATGCACGGAAAACAACTAATTATTTTAATATATTAAAACCCACCAAATCGAATAGTTTTGGTCCAAAGAACTTATCCGTAATCAAAACTAGTACAACAAACCCAATTTTTATTAGGTTACAGAAAGTACTTACATCATCACGAATAAATATGCAGACACAGGTTATTTCAGAAAATCGGGTTTTGCAGTTCAGTCAAATCTCTAAGCATTTCAATACATCCGATTATATAGAGCAGCCAACGAGTGTAATAATTGGTCCCAGTTCCTCAAGGGATGTAGATAGTTCTAAAACCCAAATTAGCCTAAGGCATTCCAAGCATTCTGTTTTTAGAAACGAAACGAGCTTGCCAGTTATCTTGGAATCCAACCCAGATGAGGTTATGAATGCTGCCAGAGAATCAAATAGTAGGCCCATTGGTGCCGTTCCTGTTGGTTCTCTTGCGAATACGAATTATTTAAAAAAATCAATTTCGGCTGATGCTTGTCATCCGCCGTGCAGGTCAAATAAAAATGAAATTTGCGTTACATATGCTAACAATACACAATCTTCGAATCTTTGTGATTGTCGACCAAGTTTTGGACGCATGTTTCCGGATCGCCCTTGCAAACGTATGTCTTACGATTGACTCGTTTTACTATAAATGACTTTCTTGCCAATTTGTTTTAGCTACTTACACATATGAAATGAATATTCAAGTATACTGGCCAAGAAACCATTCATTAAAGGTCAACGACGGGAAAAAAAATTCAACAACCGAATTTCATCATATTAATAGGGTTTTATTAGAAGCCGCTGATCGCATGGTTATGCAATCTGATTACAGAGACATATTTCATGATGTGCAATTACGAAACATTTTTTTAGAAAAAGATACGTTAACAGCTACATTTTTACTTCAGGTGAGCTTTTAAAAAACTAAATAAACAAGAAATGAAAAATATTTTTTTCATAAATAGTTATCAGAGAATAGCGACGAAAATCAGCTCACATCCGTATTTAAAAAATATTTACGACAAAGCAACTTTAGTATTGGAAGCACTGGATTGCACCCTTCACAAAGAAGAATTAAACTATTAGCTTTCAAAGGTTGATATCTAAAAAGTTTTAAAAATATTATTTTAAATGTAATGCTTATTTCTCTTTCAGATTTTGATGAGTGTGGTAATGAAAATTTTAATGATTGCTCCATCAATGCTCACTGCTTCAACTTGATTGGCAGCTACACTTGCAGTTGCAAGGAAGGTTATATAGATATAGCTGATAACGCTTTATATCAAGGTCGCCATTGCTCAGATAAAACTATTGGCTGCGATAGGTGTAACTATAATGGCAAATGTATAAAGGAGCCTGTCGACAAAGGGCACCAGGCAATAACTACATGCAAGTGCTATTCTTGGTACACTGGAACGAAGTGCCAAGTTAACTTGAAGATTATAATAATCATTCTTTTTACGAGCGGCACAATTTTGTCAACTCTGCTTCTGTTCTTGTTTTTACTAATAAACACAAAACTTCAAAAGCATGGTAATTTGAAAACAAGGCCATTATTTACTGCAGCTTCCATTTTACATCCTAGTATAATAAAATCAAACGACGGAGAAACTAATAGTAAATTTACCGAAAACGTGAAGTCCACTTCAAAAAAGGTAACTGCAAAAATGTAACAAATTTAATTAAATAATTCATTTGTCTTGTTCTTATTTTATAGAAACCCAACAGTGTGAATAATTTCAAGCACCTATCACTTCAAGAAAAAAGGGCGACACGAAATTGCAAGGTCGTTTCAGCTCGTAATATAAGCAACGATTTTAAAACAATAAGAGAAATTGAAGAATATGACTTTTCACATTGTAGTACCGACCTTAGCCCTGATCATAAGGAACAAAACGATCGATCTCTTACTCTTATGATTCCACGAGCCAAATTTTGCATTTTTCAGAAAGCCTTTTTGAATTATAACGCTAATAGATCAATTATTGATAATGAACAGCAAAATATAATGCATAAAGATGATGCTAATATACTTCCCTGTAGACCTGGACTTGCTCTGAACTGTAAGAATCATTCGAAAAGTTCAACGTTGTCAGATATAAATATATACAGAGGCATCAGTACAAAGAGATCTTCTCTGGTATCTGCGGGTTTTGAGGTATCTGCCGTTGTTACCGATAAAAATGTATTAGAAATCCCAATGTAAGTGTCTTTTTCTTTTTACTTTCCAATCACGGTTTGAAAAAGCTCTTAACGGTTTTAAGTTCTGGAAGCCCTCGCATAACTTATAACAACGAATGCTAAAGCAATGTTCTAATTTTGCTGCAAACTTTTCACAGCTTAACAATATAAAAAATACATTACTTTCAATATTAGTATTTTATTTTTTCGCTTTTGCTTTGCTTTAAGCCGGCAGACTTGTCTTAAGGGCCCTTCCCTGCAGATTTTCCGTTGGCAAACATTTTTTTCGAACTGAATACTACGCTTAAGGGCCGTGTGTTCATAATCTTGCTCTTGATCTGCATTCGTCGCCAGTGTTTACCCCTGAAGGGGCGCTAATGAATGGTTTAAGTAAAACAATAGTGACATCAAATTTAGATTAAAATTGTGGAATAAGAAGACTACGGCGAAAAGTCGGTCGAAAAAATAAGTTTTGCACAAAATTTTATACAACGGATTTTGACTCTGCGGTTTTCCCCGAGTTCATATATTTCAAAGAATCTGGTTTACTTGTAACAGCTTGTTTACAATTTTTTTCTTTCACCTGCTGCAAAACTCCATATCTTGTACAAATTGATAGAACTCAGCGATAACTTGTATTTGAATTTTGCGCTGTAATGCTGCCCTAATTTTCGCGGTATAGTTTTTTCGAATTTTCGCCCGAGTTTTCTCGCCGAAGCCTTCTTCAGTTCTTCAATATTCCTAGAAGTACAACTTAGCTGTGGTTGGTCATATAGGTGATGTGCGGTAGATCGGATCTATTAGGAGTTCTGCGCGAATCAAACAAATATTATTAAGATCTGTGATGACAAAAAGTTTTGCCGGGTGACTGGGTTTTAAGATATTTCGTGGCCTAGGCGACTTTCTAACTCTTTATAGACAGCTCTAAAGCTGGCAGGGCATACCTCAGTTGAATGTGTATCTCTGCAGGTAAAGCTGACTGCGGTTAGAGTCCAATAGGTTTTGATGTGTTCATATTACAGGGACTTCATGCATTGAACGGGTCCATTTCGTTTGTGGAGTACCTTAACTGAGATTTTACTGTGAAGTAGATATTGGAGCTTATAGATTGGGTAAACTTCATTTTTTTTAAGGGCACATCGTCAGCTTTACCTAAAACATTGCCTGATGGTACAGGTACTCATTGGTACTTTTAACTTTTCCACTCGTTGAGAGGAGTAAACGTTGTTTTTGATTGACGAAGAATGAAGATCGTCTTGCTTTATTCATTTATTCACATTGGCTTTTGTTTATATTAGTAACACAATTTGATGATTTTTATTGATTTAATTAAAACAAGCAATTGTACGCATTTCTTCTTAAAAATATTATTGGTTTCTGCAGCACCCTTGACATTAGTAGTTTATATACCCTTGCAGTTATTACAAAACTACATTTTGATTCCTGTGCCTATATTACTAAAAACAATGAAGCTATGTCGAGTTTGCGGTGCATTTTGCCATCGTTTCTATGGCAGATATATCATATTGTTGTCCGTAGTAAACAATCACAATATCCCACAGGAAAATTTTGATAAACAGGAAAACAGCTAAATAAAATTTGTTTTTCATCTTATTATTTTTTCATTTTTAGATTTTGCTATGGGAGCTTTATGATATAGATGTCAGATATTAATTTGATTAAAACCATAGTATTTAAATATTACCAAATCCAAAAGAACAAAAAAATTTTAAAACAACAAAGTTAGACTTTTTAAAATTTTTTTTCCGATTGTTTCTATGGGAGCTATACGATATATTCGCCCGATCCGGCTCGTTCCGACTTATATACAACCTGCACTAGAAAGACAACTTTTAGCAAATTTGTAAGCTTTAAAACTGAGGCACTAGCTTGCGTAGAAACGGACGGATGGACAGACGGACATGGCTAGATCGACTCTCCTGGCGATGCTGATCAAGAATATATGTATATACTTTATAGGGTCGAAAATTTCTCCTTCACTGCGTTGCAAACTTTTGACTGAAATTATAATACTCTCTGAAAGGGTATAAAAATGAACATGTCTAATAGCATTTGGTCGTATATTATTATATGGACACGGATGGAGTTGGCAGTATTGACTCTGGCCTAAAATTATCGGCTTTCTTCCATCGATTCGCGGGTGTTTTACCGCCTGTTGTCGGCACCATACGGTGTGGGGTCGAAGAAAATTTTTCTGAAGTGCTTAGATTTTATCCGACTCATGATACAATAGCATATTATTCGCATGTTATTGTATCATAATCCGACTCTCCTTGGCTAGCTGCAGCCTCCATAGGTCACAGAACTCCATAGTTTTCTGCGCATGTTTTCAACGCAAATGATTTTACAAGAACACGGTGGACAATGCTGTTACAAAGTAGGCGGTGGTGAGCCAGCAATTTTCCCAGATGTTTCCATATCCTTTGGACGCACTGTCTCCTTGCACTCCCGCTACAAATAACACCCGAGGCACTGTTTCACTCGGAAGCTCTCAGGTTTAAGTTATCTCAATCAGTTCTAATTTGGGAGAATTAAAATTCTCCTGTAGAACCAAATAAACGACCTCCGCAAAATTCCTTAAAAAGTCTGAGTTCTTCTATACCCATTTACGGTAGTTTATTTCAAGTCCTAATTTTTCTACGACTATGCCGGTGCTTATATAGTTTAAGCTCAAATATAATTTAGTAAAGTGATATATTAAAAACTGTAATATTCTCGTAACAGAAGTCAAGGTTCTAGGTCTTATTTTTCCGGGACTCCTCATTAATTTACCAATTGAAACGCTGGGACTAAAAATGCGTCGAATAACTTTTACACCAGATAAAATCAACTACCAAGATACAATTAAGCTCATGGATTTTAAATCTATACATACATACCTGTCTTAGCAGAACAAATTTTTTTACACAAAAATTACTTATTATTCATTGTAACGTTTTTAATATTAATTTAAAGATTACATAACATGACTTCTTTTAATGAAGCATATGATGTGGATGAGGATAACGCAATCTCCTTAATTGAGGTAATTTTCTTAAAATACATTATTTAAAATTCGACTCAATTTCTTTATTGATTTAAAATAGGATGCTAATACAATGACTGAAAGAGATTTGGGCTCCACTTTTTTGTTGCCACATACACATCTTTATAAGCCCGACAAGGTATGTATGATGCCTCAAAAAATAAACAAATAACAGACAATATTTAATTTCAAAAATTAATTCGTTTCAGATTCCGTGTGACCTTGCTGGAATATATTCGTCATGAACATCTAGTTTTCAATGTTTTTTAATTTTTATCGATAATTATAAGTACCTAGGAACCTACAAAATATGAGTATATGATAAATGAATAAGGCTTAATAAATCTTGTTGAAAAATTTCCCCCATAAGCCTAGTATCCAGATCGACAAACGAGTATGCTAGCGTAAAAACTTTAATCTTTCCAGTGTGACCAAAATTTCGAGAGTTCATCGGATTTAAGCGTGGTACGGTCGTACTGTCAATCAGCTGGGTTTGTTGACAAGCAGTTCAAATTCAAATATCGTATTTGCGGGAAAGAGCCTTTAAAAGATATTATCAAATACCTTGGCTAGACAAGTCTGCCGCTGTACAAAGAAGTTAAAAAACAATACAATTAAAATTTAACAGTTGTTTTTTTTAATGTTATGATAATTATTTGCTAATTTAAAGTGCAAAATATAAGTTTTTAAATTCCATGTCACTATCACTTGAAGGCAGATTTTGATTCCACTTTCGCTGAGACCGGCAGCATTTGATTTGCTGGTAGGTGATCTAGGATTTCATCTTGTGGCTCTCTTATTTATTTATTATTAAAGATAGAGAAGTTTACAAAACTAGACTAACTTAGTTGTTATAGCGCTGGCAACAATGCCTTCTGATTTTATGTTAATGATATGATATCTATTTATTAGTAAATTTACATATTGTTAATTGTAGTTTTGCTATTTATTTGGTAATATTTGTTATATTTGTAATTTTTGGTTAAGTTTTATATTTTGTGGTACGTGTTTGAGGTTTTTAAGAAAGTTGCGATATTTTCTAAATTATCTGGGTTGAGGTCTTTGAGGAGGTTTATTGGGTTTGTGTTTTTGAAAATGGACAGTTTAGTGGGTAGGATTGATGGGCATAAGTTTAGTAGGTGGGGTATGGTATTATTTCAGCAGAAAGTAATGATGAGTATGGGGGTAGTATACCATACATATTTAATAATATTGGTAACTTTTGTAACTGCGTAAGATATAGTCGAGTTAGTTTTTGATCCGTCCGTAAATATGAATTTGTGTGAAGTAATCCAAATGGAAAACCCTCTTCCCACGGCGGTAAGCAGTACAATTCGACACCGAACACTACTAACTGTGGGGCGGCTATTATGCTTGAACACTGCGGATGAAGGAGCGCCTCCTCACAGCACCAAGTTACTACTACTGCGTGTACCGACAAATACCAACCTTTAATGGAAATTTAATGTCAGCCAAAAGCTATAAACTGTAATAAATGGCACTTACCTGCTTTCAATCCATTGATCCAAATGATGTTACACTGACCTTCATCTTGCTTCGAGCGATACCTGAAAAAAGTAAACAAACTGTTAATATTTATTAAAATTATCTGCAAACAAACGCATGCGGTATCCACTTAACTGAGGGGCGGCTGTTGAGCTTGATCACTGCGGATGTAGGAGGGCCTCCTCACAAGACCAAGTTCAGCCACGAAACTGCATATTCTACTTTATGGCACTTACCTGCTTTTAATCCACCGATCCACCTTATGCGACACTTTTTTTTCACCTCGGTCCTCAGATCGACAAAAAAATACCAGAAAATTGCATAGCGTTGCCAGACTGCGGAAATGAACTTTGGGTGAACCCTAGCGAAAAGATTAAAAAATGTAACCTTTTGGCGGGCGCTTCTCACTTAAGCCTAGTATCCACTTCGACGTAAACCGTACGCCAGTCATGAGAGAGAGCGAGAGGCAAACAGCTGGCGTTCACTTTTCGTCGGGCCTTTTTTTCACGTCGGTCTCCTGATCGACGAAAAAAATACCAGAAAATTCCATAGCGTTGCCAATCTGCGGAAACGTGAACCCTAGCGAAAAGATTAAAAAATTTAATCTTTTGGGGTGCGCTTCTCACTGAACATTATAAGAAATGGAGGGAAGAACTCAAAAAACTCGCAAAAGTCGATTGCAGGTGTTTATATGTGAGGACAAAATAACATTAATACTATCTGGGGTGCCTCTTGTCAGAGCAAAATGTTTTTTAGGTCCAGAATGTACGAAAAAACACAATAAAAGTGCAGCTATGAACTTTAAATTAGCAAATAATTATCATAAAATTAAAAAAAACAACTGTTAAATTTAAATTGTTTTGTTTTTTAACTTCTTTGTACAGCGGCAGACTTGTCTTGCCAAGGTATTTGATAATATCTTTTAAAGTCTCTTTCCCGCAAATACGATATTTGAATTTTAACTGCTTGTCAACAAACCCAGCTGATTGTCAGTACGACCGTAGCACGCTTAAATCCGATGAACTCTCGAAATTTTGGTCACACTGGAAAGATTAAAGTTTTTACGCTAGCATACTCGTTTGTCGATCTGGATACTAGGCTTTAGAGTAAAATTGGTGGCCAGAAGTGTGACCGGTTGTGTAGCACATGGCAGATCCGAAGTGTACAGAGTGTACATAATGGGACCCAGGACGCTTCCCTGTGGAACGCCAGCTCGAGCAGTTATAATGTTTGACCTTTCCCCTCTTACCTCGACCATAAAACATTGATCAAGCAAGTATGATTTTAATAAGAGGAATTGGCCGGTCGGGAGCAGGGACTTCAACTTATGGAGTAATCCAGCATGCCAAGCGCGGTCAAACGCTTCCTTGACGTCGAGGAAAATAGCGGAGCTGTATTGCTTATTTTCTAAAGCATTTAAAATGTGTTGAACACCTCTATGTGCTTGTTCTGGTGTCCCATGATGATGCCTAAAACCAAACTGGTGGTGGGGAATGGCGTCCTGCACGCTTCTTACGCCCATAATTCTACTTAGAAATATCCTCTCGAATATTTTTGAGAAAGGTTCTCCGGTTTTCCTGGCTTTGGTATCATCGTTATCACAGCACACTTTCATTGGGATGGAAAGTGGTGGATACGTAGCAATGAATTATAGAGGAGGACAAGGAACAGGATTCCCTTTTTTGGCAAAGCCTTGGCAATTCTACTATCAATGCCATCGAATCCAGGCGCCTTACTGGGATGTAACTTACGAATATGAAGGCAGACTTCTTCTGGGCTAACTCGTTGGATCGGTGGTGCATCAGGAGAAGGAGCATTAAGAAAGGTCAGTGTTTCTGAAACATCCTCGGGACTCGCGAGGTCAAATGGCTGAAAGCGTTTCTCTAGTTCGTCCGCAAAAGCTAGAGAAATCTCTGAGTCAGATCTGCACTATGTGTCGTCAGCTCTTTTTATGAGGATCATTCGAAGAGGCTGTCGTTTCATAATTCGTGTACATTTCCAAAGGTTGAAGCCGTACGATTTGGTGGCATCCGCGTTGAGGAGCATTTAATCAAAATATTCGCGCTGGGTTTGGTACAGAAGTTTTTTAAGATCATCTTCGGCACGACGATATGAACTTTTGTCGACTGGATCTCATATATCTGCGACGTAGGGATCTTTTCAACCTTACCAGTTCCATTACCTCAGGTTTTAAAAGAGCCTGGGGTGGGTTGGAAGGGTTTGAGTCTTCTCCACAAACATCTCCACAGCGTCGTTGATGTCCTCAGAAGAGTTTAACACCATATTGAGTTTAACAAGCCGGTTGACTGCTGCTTGAAAGCGAGGAAGGGTCGCATTTCGAGGAAGGATGCGAAGCCTGGAGCAAATTTTTGGCGAAGCTACTCTGAACTTGATGATCAATGGGATATGATCAGAGCTAAGCTTAAGACTTTCTGTAATGGAAAGACAATCAGACCGTATCCCGCGTAAACAGCAAAGTCAATGGCTGTTGATGTTCTTCGGCTATATGGATAATATAGCCGGTTGGACTTTGGATCTTTGAACAAGGTCTGCGAGAGCTCTTCCGCGGGTGGTTGAGTTTCGAGACCCCCACAAACGGTCCCCTGCGATTATGAAATTTTATCCCAGATCGTCAAAGAGCTTTTCAAAGTCGTCAGCAGAACATTGAAAGTTTGGTGGACAATATATAGACGCAATAGCTGTCTCGCCAAGGTCGGTTTTGACTTTGACTGAGACACATTGAACATTTTGACTATGTAGACTATAGAACTGGTAACATTGTAGACAGGATTTTATTATAATTGCAGAGCCACCGCGTTTTCTATCGGCAGGATGAGTTGCTTGATAAATAGTGTACCCGTGCAATTTGTAGTATGACCTTGAGCAAAAGTGTGTTTCACTAACCAGTATAATATCAATATTATGACTATGCACAAAGAGCTCCAGCTCAAGTCCGTCGGGGATCCACACACCACTCATGGTTGTGTTACATTAACTGGGAGAGATCCAGCTAATGATTGAGCTGTTCCTTAGTTTTTTTGTTTGTAATAACTTGTCGATCTGAGCAACAAGGTCCGACATTCTTTCGTTGGATTGTAGGAACAGTTGCTCTTGACGCTGCCATTGCTGGTCGTTGATCAATTGCTGCGGGTTGCGTCGGTGTTGTTGACGGATAGACAGCTGCTGGTGATCTGGTTGTTGTTGTTGTTGAGGAGCCAGTTGTTGCTGTGATGGCTGCTGATGCTGTCGAGGCGGTGCTGTTTGATGCTGACTCTGCATCCTGTTTTTGCTGCTCAGTGGGGAAATCTGTTGACTCTGTGGAAGAGTCATAGGAACTTGTTGGAGCTGGGGACTGCTAACTTGACCACGGACAGCGTTTGCATTTACAATTTTTAGGAGTTAGCTGTTGGGAACAGTTCTGCGATGGGATGTGACATTTTTCCGTCGATTAGCAATCTGCTGATATACGACACTGCCTTTATAGCTAGCTGTATGGTTTCCGCCACAGTTAACGCAATTGACAGGGTGAATATCTTTTAAGCAGGCCTCCACACCGTGTTGCAGGCCACATCTGACGCAGCTGAAGAGTTTTTGGTGTGTCCAAAATCAATGATTTTTTGTGTGTCCAAATGCTTGGCACCGGTGACATTGAACGACATCATCCTTTTTGTAGGGGAGTTCAACTTGAACCCTTTGCCGACAAAGTGTCTTCATCTCATGGATGTCTTTGTTATTTGCCGCCGCTTCTAGTTCAACAAAAACCAGGTTGACGAACTTGGTTTTGTCAAAGCGGCTTCTAGCTCTATTGACAAATCGAACCGTGTGTCCAGCCGAGATAATACTTTCCTTAATATTTTCAT